ACCTATTAAGTTTTCGCGCGGATTTTCTGCGATACTATTGGCTCGTACCTAACTTACTTAGTAACTTGAAAGTTAGTGCTCAGTGTTCATAATATGGTACACACAAAGTGTACATACACTAAATTTATGGATTTATGAGAAATACCTGATTTGCCGTAAAGAGATCGTACAATAAATATTAACTAGCGTAACGAATTGATTAAAGATGTTTGTGTAATTTACATATACCTAATTTACTTTTAGCGATATGCTAAAATAGGTAGGCTGATAATAGTAATCTTTGCTATAACTTGTTTTTGCATATATAATGATCTTTTGCCATGGAATGCAAGACTTTGGCTGCGCAAGAACCACTTTCGCGGCAATGTATCACTAGTGAATAGACAGCCAGCTTAGCGGTGCTTGAGCGATGCGGTCAAACTAGATTCACGCACGAATTACTATTATTTCATAAATAATTTAAATCACATTCTTTGCCCCCATGTAATACCTAATTGTTAAAAACTGCAAAAGTCAAACTGAATGGTCTTTTTTGTAGATATTTCCCAAAAAGTTTAAATGATATTTACGTAGTGCTTAGATTCATGTTAATATAATACTAGCCTGTCTTAGTGTTTACCTATTGGTTTCTTGATACCTAGGTAACACTTAAAAACAACTTAATTTAATAGGTAAGTAGGTACTTATTACGGAAAAATTTCCTGATGATTCAACTTAACACATTATGGTGTTAAGTTTACGAGTAGGTTCCCACATATACTTATGAATAATACTATACACGCATTAGATATTAACGAAGAAAATACTACAAGATAATTTGACGTCCTTCACGAAATCTAAAACTAGAAGTGTGTCTGTAGAGAGCAATAGTATTTGGTGTAATATCTAAATTTCTCTTTTTTCAACCTCAAAAATACTGAACAAAATCACGAGTCCTATCATTGAAGAATGCAGTTAAGTACAGTAAGTACAATTACATACTTATAATGTTAAATTTGCTACCGCACACGCCCGCAGTGCTTACTAATGTCATTCAGAGCCATGTAGGAAGCCGTCGACCTTGCTTGCACCTTCGTAGCACCATCGACTTGTAGAGCACTGCAAATATTATCTGGGATACAATACTTCGTTATTTTTTATTGAGCAAACGACGTCGATATCCAATGCAAATGGACGTTATCTTAACGAGTAACGCAATTCTTACGATCACTCATCCATCTCTTTTGATATGGATTAGGTATGATGAATTAATAACACTCGCATTAGCAATCACAAAAATATGATGCTGTTGTAATAAACCAGTTAATTGTGTGACCATTATTAGCGTGTCAAGTGGAAACACAATGACGCGTATCGTATAGTTACAGACTTACAGATGACCGTAATTAAGACCTATATAACCTTCAATCAATAGTATAATTATTGATCGAAGTATATTACAGTTAAATCAAGATTCGTCAAGAAGTTTAAAGATTAGAACAGCTAATGAAAATTTTATCAAAAGAAAGTAGTTAGGTACATGTATTATGTTTGCCTCTACGAATAATAAAATACGTAAATTATATTTTAAAAATACAAAATGGTTTATGACTGAAACTTTCATAAAATTCACGATAAAGATAAAGATATTTTATTTTGCAAATATGGGTACAGTAAAAAAGAAGATCCAATTGTAATAATTTCCTTAAAATTAGGTGACTAAATGTTTGCTCAGTCAGAATCCGAACCTTTCATTAATAGTTACATTGAACTATTTGGCTATGCGTTGTTTCGACGTTTACTGTTGTTTAGACATAAAATTAACCGGCAATATTACTAATCCATCAAACTCAGATCGAACTTACACGCCAAATACTCGTATACAATACAATTTACACAAATGTAGAGCTAACGTAGTTTCTGCAAACGTTTCTGCACGATTGGTCACTAACGATTACTCAACAAAAAAGGTCGCGAGCTTGACTTAACATGCTGCAAATGGCCTGTTTCTCGTTTCATTGGCGAAACTATATTAAGCAATATTGAGAAAATTTAACACTGAATGTAAACTGCGTCTGCGTGTGTAGAGTTCATAATTTTTTCATATCGGTCGAGAAAGGCGAAATAATTTGTAAACAATGAATTCCTTGTTGCTTCGAACGGCAGCAAGCTTGTGAGGTATGCAATGGGCACGTTCGTGGCTCTCGGACTATAGACTATTGTACTCCTTCGTTATACGAGTATGGGTATCGTCTATCAACCGGTTCTCAGAAAAATGACATGCCATTCTTATATTATACAAATATCTCTCTCTATACAGTCTATTAATAAATAGTACTATTATTTATTCTGTGCTATTAACTACTTAAATATTTTGACTATGTTACTGACACTTGAGAGGATGGTTACGAACACAGAAATAGTAATAATAAGATACGATTTCTGTGGTTACAAAGTTAAACGTTCATAGTCATCATCACTTATTTCCCATCACAATTGTTAAGTACATTGCTAAAAATATGCCTGTCTTCTCCATATTGAGATTGCCACAAAGCACAATCCTAAACTACCATTGACTCTACGTGCATGTTCATAATCTGGTCGTCACTCCTAGTTTGGGATCACTAGCTCTTCATGAAATCTTGCAAGTAATGCCACCACTCGAGAATCTTTAACATCAGTTATATAAATTCTTCGAGGTATGTTTTGTTTTACTATTATTGTATTGAATTGTTAAAGTGTTACTAATAGCACCCACTTACCTATTTCTAACACCATATAGCTTTACGTAGACTGCAGTGTAGTGATCTGAAGGGTATAGAGAGCTAGTATAATTACAAAATGTGAAGCATCCATATTATTCCTCAGAGATGACAACGCATCTGTAGTTCTGTAGCCTTCTTGTTGTGCGCAGGTGTCAATGTCAATGAGCTGCTGTAGCCTCTTACGTACTATCAGGTGGAATGAACGATTCCATTTTTTCTGCAAATATTTAAAAAAAAGTTTAGAATCTCTCAATTTCGTCATACTATTTTATTATAGGTAGGCAACATGAATACATTTTGTAGTAAAGAGTCAATATGATCGTTGAAAAAAATCTTCAACTGCTTCACGTCCAAGTTGTTGCTCAAATCGTCACTTCGTTTTGGTCATTAAACGTTTATATCGTGGAAAAAACAGCAAGCCGATCTTCCCATGGCGCCATATGTCGGAATTTTTGTTAAGTGTATAAATGAAGGGTCTTGTTCTGAATCTTGCGTATGTTTTTGTACATGTACAAAAACATACGAAAGATTTGCGTATGTTGTGTACATGTTACAGATTCATATTTAAAGTGTCTTAAATATGTTTAAACACTTTAAATATAAATTTGGTGATAAATGAGTAATATTTTTAATAAATTCGATTCCCACTTTTACCTAGTTCCAAAAACAAGAAGTTATTATATATCACCAATTTCTCGTAAACGGCTTAACATATTTTAATAATTCTTTTTATTAAATAAATAGGTTATACCTACTTCAGGGTTGGTCTCATAGGTATAAAATTTAGACAAAGATTTGACTCCCAAAGAGTGAAAGAAAAGATGACGACATTCTGCTTGTTATCTTAAACTTGTGATATTTCGTAGTCTACTCAAAAGGGTAACATAAACTTAAAAAAAGTAAAACTAACATTAAAAAACCCACATGAAATAGCTTCTGCGTTCGGGAATTTATTAATCGATACACTAATCTTCAAAAGCACCGACTTGTCGAATATTTTTTTTAACTCTGTTTTACTTCTTCTTTTAAGTTTAATTATATTTTTGTTATAATAAGGGTCGATCTACTCGTAGTTGAGCCAACCCATTCGTGCTACAACCATAATATAGCTGCAGCGTGACTCTTCCACGTACACACGTACCTAAGCTACATAACGGATGCATATGTAGTGGTACCTACTTAATATTTCAGACACGAATTTTAAAATGGTTTATACCTATTTAGGTTCTGTGCATGAAGGTTTTATTCTTTCTACACTGATTTATAGAGTAATTAATATTATTATTAATTAAACTTTTGAACGGAAGTGGTCAGATTTTGTGAAAAAGGTTATTAAATAAATTTATAAAGCCAAAGTCAAAATATTTATTGTGCGTTGAGTGTTACATAGCATACATAGATATTAATTTATTATACGAGTGTTATTCTCTCTCTTCGAGTATTATGCAGCGGTAGAGTGCGGACTGCGAAACTAAAGTCGTTAATTCGGTATCGGATAATTATGTCGTGAATCATTCCTAGCTTAAGCATTTTATGCTTAGTTTAGTGAAATCTGACAACTTTACCAATGGAATTTAAGTTTGCCATCATGGATGTACAGGTTCAAATTTCACGGACAACATAACGTTTGTCGAGATGTTATTTCATGGATGAAAGTTTAATAACTAATTGACAACTTTGTTTTCCATGTGGCTTTGTTTTACATGAGAGTTAATATTGGCATTTTATTATACCGCGGATTTGTACCGGCCACGTAACCTCCTCGTTCAATGTTCCAAAACTTTTGTTGATTTTGGTTGAAATATTGAATGTAGTACCTACATTTTTGTAATAACGTTATATTAATGTTTAGAATATGTAACATTTCGTTTTTAACATGGTGGTCTTAACATTTATCTATAAAACTGACTTGACAAATTTAACCATACTGGTGATGCCACGATGTGACGGTTACTTTGCCATGTTTTTCTACAACCAAGGGTTGTCACTTTCAACTTATATTTTTACTCGATTTTACCATATGAGTGTCAATCGATTCATCTTAATCAAAGGTGAAGGAAAAAAATCTATATCATTTTTACTGCATTGGCGGGTATTAATAATAAATATTATTTAATTATATTTCACTTTGTATATTTAGATGACTGTTCCATCATCGTTTGAATCAGCAACCACTGGGGTATTCACGCGGCATCCACGTGTGCGCGTTGTTCTGCAACTTGTGGCACCGCAACCACAGCGTAGCACTTTCATCTGATGAGGGAGGGAACAGTCTCACGTCGTAGCCATTCATCAAATATATTTGAGCGCAAGATATACCGAACTCGGTCCGCCAGGTTTTGCTCGGTGACGGTTACAGATGGCTCCAGCTCAGCGAAAAGTCACATCCTTGCCCGATACGTAAAACCTCCAATTTCTCCTCCTTTCGCCTTAAAATACGCCCGCAATGCGTTGCTGTTCATCGAGATTGTCCAACGCATGCGGCGTACTTCACTAGTGGCGGGTGCCGATTGTTGGGCCCCCGAAGACCCTGCCGACACCAAGCCCGCTGGTAGGGATGATGGATGCGAGGGGCTACTAGGTGGTCGCGCAGCACCTCGCGCTTGGCTGACGGTTCGCATGACGCCAGCTCCGGACGCGCCCTGGCAGCCACCAGGCAGCGGCCCTTTGCGTGTTCTATAAAATTCCATCACCCTTATTATTTTATTATATTATTATTAAGAATATTGTATTATTACTACTCAGTATTTTTCATATTTTTAACTTAGTGTTGATATTAATTTGCACCCAGAGAACAATGTAGTTTTTGTAATGATTACAAGTTTTGCTATTTAAAAAAACAATATTTAGGTTGGTTACAATCATTCCTTTAAATGATTATAATTACTATAATCAACCAAATTTAAGAAATACATTTTGACACCTGTCAGACTTATTGCACCAAGAATGCCAACCAAAAAATGGGAAAGTACAATATTCGATTCTTAAAAAAATCGATACCGATTATTTAGAGTTGGTAATCTTTTACAGTTTGGTTTGAATAATACCAGAATAAATTAAAAACGGATAATTTATAACACAAGATTCGTCAGTTTCTTCCAGTTTCTTGTTTTTAAGTTTATTAATTCATTTTAAATATATATATATATATATATATATATATATATATATATATATATATATATATATATACTTATATTTATTTATTTATTTAAGAAATTTATGATTACAAAGATGAATAGTTTTAGTGTAAACATAAACTCAGAGTTTTTCCGTACACCATTGCTGTCCACACATTATTCAACATTATTCATTACAATACATTACATTACCAAAGTTAGATTAATATTATTAGTAAAAGTAAAGTAAAGTTACAGCCTATATACGTCCCACTGCTGGGCTCAGGCCTCCCCTCATTTCTGAGAGGGTTTAGGGCAAGGAAGTGTCCGCCGCGCTGCCCAAATGCGTGTTGACGAACTTCACATGTCTTCGAAATATTTTTTTTCTTATTCCTCAGACATGCAGGTTTCCTCACGATGTTTTCCTTCACCGCCGAGGACGTGGTAAATCAGCACTTAAAATTGCAATTAACAATTTCATTGGTGCCGGCGGGGATCGAACCCGGGTTACTCGCGTTCTGTTATATTTACAGCGAGCGTTAACCACTGAGCTACCACGGCTCTATTAATATTATTATCAACTTAAATTAGGTGCATTAAATATTATGTTTCTATTTGACAAACTATTTGTGGGTACAAAAATATAAAATAGTTTTAAGCGATGAGCGTAAAATCACAAGGTGAACTTATTACATTCTGTGAATAATCGTGATACAGGTTGATTATAACATATATTTTCATAAATTTATAAGATAATTTGTTGGTAAAGTAAACCAATAATATATAACGAGAAGTTCTTTTAAGTGTTACGAGTATTTAGTAAGAGTTAATTGTATATAAAAAAATTTTAATTAATAATTTTATGTTTATACGTGTTATGACGTCTTTCAAAGATTTAGGTAAGACTGATTGGTTAGATTAGGTATAACATAGTTTAAAGTTCTTTTTCCGTATAAGTTATTATATTTAGGTAGTTGCAGTTTTAGATTATCATTTCTGCGTGCGGAGTATAATAACTTATCTACCTTTTTAAAATTTTCAGTAAAGTAATTTTCAGTTAGTAGGGAGACCGGGGCTGGTTGACCAAATTTCAGCTTAAAGCTATCTATTCTTATTTCCTTAGAGTATATTAATTTACTTCAGTTAATAGTTATACTGTTAAGTGTAAGTTAAGTGGCAACAATTACTTTAATCATTATGATATAGAGTACAGGCCAGTTCTTGTATAATAGGAAAAACTGGTCAACCTACCCCATGCTTGGGGCAGATTGACTAGTCACCTGGGGTAAGTTGACCTATGAAATTGTAAAGGCAAAACCTACAAGGAAATAGAATAAAAAACACAAACATGTAGGTATTACTCATTTCTTTTATTGAAACCAATAAGAGGGCTTCCACCACTTCCATCAAATACATTAAATTACTAGAATAAACAATCAGACGTTTCAACATTAGGTAATTCGTAACCCAAAAATAAACTAACTACTTTCTTATTAAATATGATATCCCAGTCACACGGAATCCAGATTGAATATAATCAATTGTAGCTGCTAATGGCAATGATGTTTTTACCAGCTCGGGTATGTCATAAATTGTTATAGTCTTTCCCGGATGACTTACTAACCAATTATCGCTTGCTTGATTGTAATACTTCTTGTGTGTCTTAGTGGCCCATAAACTGTTCTATCTAGAGGCTGCAGCTTATGGCTGCAGTGGGGAGGAAATGATGAAATTTTAACCCCATTTTCTTTGAAATAAGCAAGCATTTCTATAGACAAATGCGAGTCATAGTTATCGAGAAGTAATAAAACCGGGGTTTCTTTACTAGGTTTGGCGTATTTTACGAAGTGTCTAGCAACCTTCAAAAATTACCTTTCATCCACCCAGAAGGATTAGCATCGCTATCTGAGCCCACTGGTCCACCTCTGATGAAGTGTTCTTTATAGTGAACTCGTGGAAAAACAAAGAATGGAGGAACCATGTTACCAAGAGCTGAGATAGCAACCGCGACCGTCACCTACCATCTACCTCGCCGTCTACCTCGTTCAGCGGAAGTAATTTTTCCCTAGTTCTTAATTCCTCGACGAGCTATCACTTTGTTAGGAACATGTACCGTTGTCAGTCCTGTTTCATCTACGTTCCAAATATCACCAGGACTCAGATTATGGCGACGATAAACGGTTTTCATGTTGTCAAAGAACAAATTAACGTTAGTTTTGTTGAAAGATGTGGCTCGAGATAAACTAGTACCTTGAGGAGTTCTTATAGAAAGTGCTGAATGACGTTTAAGAAAATGCCAACAATCTTCACCAGCAACCAATTTGAGCATTGGTTTTTTTTTTTTGCAAATTCGTACGCAAACTTTCGGGTTTCATAAGGGGTTAGTCCGTAATAAATGTCTGCTGCTTTCTTCAAGTAACTCCAAAGCAAGCTCTTCCTCGTTACTAAATATTTGTCTATTCTTTTATAGCCAACGCTGTCCAAAGTTGATTCGGATTTCGATAATTCAGGATTTTTTTCTAATTTTTCTTCATATTCACGACGTGGCGTTATAGTGTTTTATACGGTATAGCAAACTTTTTCGCCGTAGAATTAATACTTTTTTCGTCAAAGATAACTTGCTGACATGCTCTATCTGTTACATCTTTGGGTGCGCTCCCTTTATCAGTCTTTCTCTTGTATGTTCGCATGGTCCTGAAACAACAAAATTTTAGATAAAATTTCAAAAATATTGACTTCATTTTATGTGTGGAATTTCCATAACATGATGGGGCTGGTTGACAAGGTGGTCACCCAGCCCCGTTATACATTAGTCTACTAGCCCCAAACCACCTTTAAATTTTTAAGCATGTGCCATAACCTCAAAACTGCGACGAAATCAAATAGAATAGCACATAAAAGAAAGACATGGGTCAAACATTCGTTATAAATGCTTTGACAAACAATAACTGCTATGAATAAATAGGCATTATTACAAATAACATTACAACAAAAATAATTACTTACGTGAGTTGTTTTTCAACGATACGTTCCTTCTCTCAAACGACGTGCGTGCGCGACGCCGTGTTTCCGGTGACTGAGCGGGGGGAGGCGGCGTTGGACGAGTTTTTGCTAGTTAAGCGGGCTACATACGACACGATATCGGTGGCGATCTAGGGTGGAGTAGTGGGGATGCCTCCTAGATTGCCTCTAAATCGTGTCGTATGTAGAGCCATCCTAAGTCGTAGCCGATATCGCCTCCTTAATCGGCTGGCAGGAGCAAAAATGCTTCCTAGATCAGCCGATGCTTCCTAGATCGGGGCACCGCCCCCTCCTTACTGCGTGTGTGTAGGCGCATCGGCCTGATTTCTTTTGGCAGTCGCTGCCGGCAACCCTCGCGGAAGGAAGTTAACAAAACAGTGATACTGAATGACCTTTTTTATGTGACAAAATTTTTACATTTTAATCATATAAACGGAGCAGAAGCCTATGGCACTGATATTTTACAAAAAACCAAAAAAAAGTGAATAAAATAAATAAATTAAATGAAATTTTATCGAAATTCAAATCATATCCACCCTAGCCTGTGACCCTGCGAAGTGACATGGTCAAGAATGCCTACTAAACTAATTTTTTATTGCCGTTCGTAAAGTAGAGTGTATGATGTAAGTAAGGAGAAGTTAAAGCCTCTCCTCAACAACTAACTCCTATTCCAACACTATCAACACAAGACCGCACTCATATCTCTTACAACTCCACAAGACCACAATTCGATCTCTTACGTGCCTTCATCCTCTTATAAACAAACTTCTACTCCTTCACCATCTCCACATCAACAAACAAGTTATATAAAAGGGAGTATGTCCGAAATTAAAGGTTTCTTTATGTTTAAAAAAAAGATATAAGCTATTTTATTTTCTGATAGTTTTACTCCATAAATAAAGATTACATTAAAAAAAAGTATACATATTATTATACAAAAGTATTTTATTTCCTTGTTTGTTGTGTGTAATACATAACCAGATTTTGACCAAAGCAGAAATGAACAAAGAGAAGAAATAACTAAATAGCATAGGTACATAGGAGAAATTGATGTTTTTATATAAGTGGCGAAATCATTTCTAGAAGGTTATAAAAACTGTCTTCATCCATCCGGAGAAAATTAATCATGTCTTTGGAATACAATTACGTACGTAATAATTTAGTACGTTTATGTGGCTTAATTTTTGTCTCTTTTGGAGCCATTTTTCACCCAGCAACTCCTCTTTTTCTATTTTCGAATAAATTTACCGAGAGGGCTAATGCCAAACCAATACATTGGTGTTTTAAGAGAGTTGAAGCTATTTTGAAGAACTCTACCGCATATGTGTTCCGCTCCAAGTCCGAACGCGTACTGCTAGGCAGGCCCGTGTGTAGGGTCTGCCCCGATAAAAGCCCCGATTTCTTTCCACCCTAGATCGCCACCGATATCGTCTCGTGTGTAGCCCGTTTTAGTCAACCTACCCCTATAGTCAACCAACCCCGGTCTCCCCTAATGTTAGTTCAACTTTGTCGTGAATAGGTATAATTTTACAAAATGCAAAT